AGCCAGTACAGGCCATTCAGATGGGAAAGCTGCAAATTGAATGGGGTAGGGTCTCAGGGAATCACCAGAGTGGAGCCAAAGTGTGAGCCTGGCTGATGAAGACTCATATATGGCTGCTGGTCAGCCCTGTGACAGGGGAGGTGCCAGCACAGGAACAATGACCCCTGTGAGCGCCATCATCTGGGAGAAAGCTGTCCTGGAGTTCCTGCCCCGATGCCAGACAATCCATTTCCTCCCAGTATGTGTCCCGGAACCCCAAAGCTGCCTTGTGCTGGAGCTCAGAGGGATCGAGTCCAAGTAAGTTTGTGCGCCGGCCCTTTAAGAGAAACACCTGGGTCTCCAGCAGCCTCCACTTCATGCAGCCACAATCCCCACTGGTTTTTACAGCTCAAAGTTATGGGGACTTCTCTTCCCAGCTCTAGAACCCTGAGTTGGGCGTCTAGTGTGGGGCTGAGACCCCTTGCTCCTCAGGGCAGCCTCCGCAGCGAAGATCTCGCTCCAGACCAGCCCGTTCCATGCCTCTGCGCCCCCCCTACCTGTCTCAATGTGCCTTCTTCACTTCTCGAGTTGTAGGACTTCCATTCAGCCAGCTTTCAGACTGTTCTGAATGATGACTGTTCAGTATTTTAGTTGTAATTTTGATGTGGCTGTGGGAGGCGGCGAGTATGGGCATTTACCTACACTGCCATCTTGGTTTTTCCGTTTATTGATTTTAGAGAGAGAGAAAAAATTCAATGTGAGAAACACAGCCTGGTTTCCTCTCGACATTCCCTGAGTGGGGATCAAAACCTTCACTGTCAAGTTCTAAATGGGTGCCTTTTCCTTCCAGCTCCCCACTTGCTAGAGAAGTGGTGCCTTCTGGAAGCTGTCGCCTCAGGTCTCGAACAGTTTAAGTCACTTTTTTTCTATTTCCTAGGATATTGAACCTGCTGCTTTCAGCATTTTTCATAATGAAGTGGGATTTTCTCTTTTTGGGTTTGTTTATTTTATGTTCCATTAGCCCTAGTTTATCCACATCTGTTTTTCTCTTCTCCATTCCCCCCCCCTTTTCCCTCCCCTCTCCTTCCTCCTCTCTCTCTCCTCTCCTTCCCTCCTTTCTTCCTTTCTGACTTGTTCTACGCTCTCACCATAGGCATAGGATTTGCAGATGAGTTTACTGGATTTGAGTATTTTCCTACTTACAGGTAATTTTAAGTTAAATTTGTCTGTCTTTTAGTTTTGATGAAGGTATGGTTTATGGGTGATTTTATTTGCTTATGTTGTTGATCTGTATGGTTGTTTGGAAAATTCATGGAGAAATTCAGATTTAGGCAAGCACCATTAATCTCTACAGCCCTGAAGTCAACACCTGTATTTATTTATTTATTTATTTATTTATTTATGTATGTATGTATGTATGTATTTATTTAAATCTTTATTGTTGAAAATAATACATATGTCCTCCCTTTCCCCCTATTGATCCCTACTCCCACCCCACCCCAACCCCCTCCCAGGCCTTCACCACTCTACTGTCTGTCCATGGGCTATGCATATATGCATATAAAGAGAGAGAGAGAGAGAAACGTCAATATGAGAAAGAAACATCGATCTGTTGCCTTTCCCATGTGCAACCTAAGTATGTGCCCTCCTGACCAGGAATCGAACCCACAGCCCCACAGCCTTTTGGTGTATGGTACCACGTTCCAATCAATTGAGCCACACCAGCCAGGCCACCTTCATTTTTGAAGAATATTTGTGCTGTGTATAGAATTGCAAATTTGCAAGACAATGGCCCTAGGATAAAAGCAGCTATAGGAGCCAGCATATCTTTCCAACATTCTTTTTTCTTGGGATTTTTAGCTCCTTACTTCTTGCCTCAAATGGTATCCACTGAATTATCTAGCTTTTGTTATATTTCTAGGATGGAAGTATTGGTATGTCGTCAGGTATTCCATTCCATCTGGATACTCATATCATCTTTAATTTTCAATTTTATCCGTAACATTGTGAATTGTTGTGATACTTTTATTAAAATCTAGAACCTACTGTATCAGGGACTCAGAGACCCCCCAGGTTGAAAGGTTTGCTAGGAAGACTCGTAAGACTCACATATAGTTGTGTTCCTGGCTAAGATCTTTACAGGGAATGGGTATAAAGCAAAACCGGCAAAGGGAAAGGGAAACCAGGCATAAGCTTCCCAGATCCTTTCCTGGTGGAGTCTCATAGGATGCACTTAATTCCTCTGTCAGTCAGTTTTGTCGGCGCGTGTAGAATGTTGTCTACCGGGGAGGCACATTGGAGAATGTGCTCGGGTGTTTTATTAGAGGCTGTTTATGTAGACACCCTCTGCCTAGCATGTACCAAAATTACACACTCCCAGAAGAAAAGCTGGTGTTTGGCATAAACCATATTGTTTGCACAAACTGGTTAAGCACAATGGGCCACTCTTATCATCCAGGGGGAGGCAACCCTCTTCAATACAAGTTCCCAGAACCAGCCAAGGACCAGCATTGCAGGCAGGGCTGTTCACGGATAGCAGTTTGGTTCTGTTAACTCTTGTCTGCAATACCTACCTTGCCAACCACTTACTCATCTTACTAGTAAGAGTTGTTTGGGATCTAAAATAGGTCAGCAATGTCATATCTAATATAATCAATGATGTTTCTTTACAGCCAAAGTCTGATAATTAGATGCGAGAAAATCAAATTATTCTCAGAAAATTATAGTTAATGAAGATAGCAAAATTCTTCTCTACCATAAGCTTAATATTTTAATATTTTAAATTAAGGTAATCAAAATGCCAGTGTGTTACAGCAAATCACATTTCCTTCCTTCATTAATTTCTGTTAATGGGCACATAAAATGAGTTATATAAATGAATAATGCAATGAATTCATGTAAAGGAATTATGTATTCACTCTTTTCTTTTAGCCTAAGAAAGCTGTCAAGGTAAAACCTCGCCCACCTGTAGCTCCTCGATCTTCTAGCAGTTCCACGGCAGCTACTCGGCACAGATTGCTACGAGTTCTCCCCCACATCGGGCAGTCTTGTTCACCATCTCCTGGGAATGCCTGTCTGCCTGAAACATCCAGCAATGCAATTGCAAGTTTGACAGCCCTGCCCGTTGCTGATAGGCCCATATCATCTATAGCTGGTGATTTCCTCAAGGAAGATACTAACTGGGAGAGTAACACACTCCCTCATTCCAGTGGCAGCACCAAACTGTCACCTCAAATACCCCATGTGGAGTTGGAAAATGACAAAGAGTTTGCCGATTCTATGCTCCATCTTGGACCATCCCTGCCTAGGCGGACAAAGCACTTTTCAGGAAATTTGTCACCTAATAATGAGGATGACACTGTTTTATTTCCGGCTCCTGAAGAGTGTGTAACTGAAAAATCCCTTCTACCTGAAGTGGGTTCGTTTCCTTTGTTTTCAGAAGGAAATATTGATGAGCAGAGCAGCGGCTTAGAAGGCACACGGAAGGTAAATCCTGACAAAGGGTTGAAAGCTACAGAGCAGCATCTTAAACATGTTGCGAGAATGTTGAGTGGTGAATCAGTAGAGACTACAGTTCTCAACAACCGTGAATTAAGTCCTCACAAGAACAGACTCTTGTCACCTCTTCACTGTTCTACACCAATGTCACTCCATCATTCTCTGGTGAAGCCACAGAGACAGTCGAAATGTTTTGAGTCTCGGACTCTCCAGTCTTCTGCTTCACAAAATGTGCTCCGGTCATTGGATGTTCGAAATATGGCTGACTCTTCTTTCTCTAGGACTACTCGCTTTCGAGCTGTTAAAGTTGATTCACCTGGGAAAAGATCTGATATTATTTCTAAAGTTGAGGCTCGGGATATCACAGAAATGGCTAACAAGGCTTCCAAAGAGCCTGTCGGTTGTGTAAATAATATAGGTTTTCTTGCTTCGCTGGCCCGGAGCGCAAGCAGAGACGGGTTACAGAGCTCGCGTGGGGTAGGTAGGCTTCGGACCTCTGGAATTGGGCTGTCTACAAACCTCCAGCATTTTCAGGAAGAATGCGTTAGGAAAAGCTCTCCCCAGTTAGAATCTACAGATTTTTATCTAGTAAGTATCTGCTTTTCAATATGTTGTAGTAGTTGTCCTTGTAATGATTCAACATATTTAAAGTTTATTTTTTGTTTACATAAATAAGGAGGCCTAAGGTTGACTTCTTGTAATAGTTTCTTTATCTATTTTCTAGAAAATCTTTTTGATAGTTGATTTTTAAATAATTTTATAGTCCTAAATTGCAAACTGTAACTTGAAAATAATTTTGTGTAGACAACTTATTGCAGCAGCCCCCCTACCACCACCCCCCGCAATGTGTGGGGGATATGTTTCAATACCTGTAGTGGATATCTGAAACCATGATAATACCAAACTCTATATATACTATGTTTTTCCTATACATACATATTTGTGATAAAGTTTAATTATAAATTAGGCACAGTAAGATATTAACAACAATCACTAATAAAATAGAATAGTTATAACAATATACTGTAATAAAAGTTATGTGACTATGATTTTTCTCTCAAAATGTTTTATTGTGTTGGGCTCACCCTTCTTGTGATAATGTGAGATGGTATAATGCCCACATGAGATCAACTGAGTTTGGATATTCTGGACAAAACCATGATTCACATCCTGGGCAGGATAGAGTGAGATTTCTGCTACTCATGCAATTTAAAGTGTGTGAATTGTTTATTTCTGGAATTTCCCATTTAATATTTTCAGAGTAAATATTGGTTAATTTTTGGTAACTGAAACTGGCAAGCAAAACCATGGATAAGGGGGGAAATACTGTATTTTTAAATGCTATTTTAATTAATTTTTCCCCCAATGAGAACTGTTATTTGAGCCATTAAATTATACTCTTTTAAACATAAGTAATAAGTACAATATTGCTGAATATGAGAATCAGGTTCCAAGTTAATTTAATTAAAATTTGGTTAGATAATTTCAAATGAAGTCCAACAGCATTTTTGTAATAAAGTACAAGTATTCCATGCTTGGTGATCTTTAATTCTGTTCTCCATTAACTCACACCATAGATGTTTTCTGTTTCAATTGTAGTCTGCCCGTGGTATTGGAATGAATGGAAATAATGCAGCAGCAGGTAAAAGAGTAGGTAAGCTATAGATAATTTTAAAAACAATATAAGACTAATAATCATATCATTATGCATATTGTTGAATTTCACAGAAATGCGAAGAACCTTCTCTGTAGTATGTACAGAGTAAACTCTCCCTAAACTTTGCTCCACTTAAGAAAATGACTATTGGAACTGACTGTAGGACGTATTTGACAAATAAAACTAAAATGAAATTTAGATGTCTGCTGCCTGGGAAGGAATATGGTCTATGTGAAAAGAAGAGATAAGTGAAGAATTAACATGTGGTTCCCAATGCTCCCAGGCACTGGCCACTCTAGAGCCATGCTGGGTTGCTGGGTGGGTTTTGACAAACCTTCTGGCCCTTTAAATACAGTTCCTCATGTTGTGACCCAACCATAAAATTATATTCATTGCTACTTCATAACTGTAATGTTGCTACTGTTATGAATTGTAATGTAAATATCTGATATGCAGGATGGTCTTAGGCGACCCCTGTGAAAGGGTCATTTGACTGCCAAAGGGGTCTCGACCCACAGGTTGAGAACCGCTGCCTTAAAGGTTCACCAACCAGTCCTATTTCCAAGGCAGCTGTTACTGTCATCATCTTTTGTGTTTTAATACTCAGACTAGGGATAGGAAACTCTCAGACTAGGGATAGGATACTCATTACAAAGATATACCACCCTTATAGCCCAAGGTTCCAAAGGATATTTTGTATATTATGGTTGTTATGTAAGTTTTATGTATTTTTTTTCTTTTTATTAATCCTCACCTGAGGATATTTTGTCCATTAATTTTTTTAGAGAGAGTGGAAGGGAGGGAGGGGGAAGAGCGAGAGCGAGAGCGAGAGAGAGAGAGAGAGAGAGAGAGAGAGATTGGTTGCTTCCTGCAGATGTTTTGACTGGAATTAAACCTGCAGCCCAAGGACTCACCCTTGATTGAGCCTTTGACCAGGAATTGAACCCAACACCCTTTGGTGCCTGGGTCAACTCTCCAACCACTGTGCAACACTAGCCAGGGAGAGTTTTATGTCTTTAAAGAGATCCTTAGGGTTTCTTTTTCACTATATAAAACCCAAGATTCTAAAGTCTTTTTTTTTTTTACAACTCCAAATTATCTTTTATTTATACAAAAAAAGGGCATGTTTAGCAAAAGACACACTGAGAAAAGAGAGGCTATGGCCCAGGAGCAAGGCAGGGAGGTGACAGGCCTTCAGAAGGCCTGCTGGGGGGGAAGGGGTTTGGGACAAAGTGGTGAGAAGTCCTGGGTAAGTGCTGAGTCGTGGGGGCTACAGCAAGAAGAAAATTCCAGTTGCATCCACACTGATGGCAGCTCATGAGTGGGACTCACAGTGACCTCGCTGCTAAGTATTATTCCAGGGGTTCCAAGTTAGTGCTGCCAACGAGTGAGAGCCACCCCCTGGTTCCTGGAGAGTACCCACCAAGGGACACAGGACAGGAAGTGCAACTCGGAGTGAAGGCCAGGGAGAAGCAGGTGCCCTGCAGTGGCCAGGAAAGGTCCAGACTCGAGGCGGAGGTGCTTCCTGTTACGTGCGGGCGTTCCGCTCTGTCTCTGCCAGGCACTCTCTGACTAGGGCCCGGGCATGGATGATGCCTGGGGTGGGGGTGGTGGAGCCCGGGGTGCTGCTGGGGGCGGGGGCGATGGGTTTGTAGGATAGCCCCAACTCTTGGGTGCGGCGGCCCGCTGCCGGCCGCTCCTCCGGGGTTGGCTTCCTGGCCACTCAGCTGCGCTCTGATTCCTAAAGTCTTAATATATCCACTTCTTTTTTAAGAATTTTTTATTGTGGTAAAGTGCACATGACAAAATTTACTGTTTTAATCATTTTAAATGTCTAATTCAATGGCGATAAGTACATTCACATGGTTGGGCAACCCTTGCCACCATCCACCTCAAGAACTCTTTATCTTGAAAAGCTGAAACACTGAGCTCATTAAATACTGTCTCATTTACCCCTTTCTCAAGCCCCTGGAAACCACCATTCTATTTTCGGTTTCTATAATTTTAACTACTCTAATGACCGCATATAAGTGAAATCATACAGTAGTAGTTATTTTGTATCTGGCTTGCTTCACATAATGTCAAGGTTCATCCATGTTGTAGCATGTGTCAGAATCTCCATACTTTTTAAGGCTAAATAATATTTCATTGTATGTACATAAAACATTTTGCTTATCTGTTGTGTATCTGTGGGTAGACACTTGTTTTGTGTTCACATTTTAGCTATTATAAATAGTGCTATGAACATGAGTATACAAATATCCTTTTGAGACCCTGCTTTCAATTCTTTTGAGCATACACATAGAAGTGGAATTGCTGGGTCATATGGTAATTCTATATTTAATTTTTTGAGGAACTGCCACACTGTTTTCTTTCTTTTTTATTAATACTTTTCTTATTTTTAAATTACAGTTAACATACAATGTTTTATTAGATTCAGGTGTACAACATAGTGATTAGACATTTATACAGTTTACAAAGTGATTACCTGATAAATCTAGTACCCTTTTTACACCATAAATAGTTATTACAATATTATTGATTATATTCCCTATTCTATAGTTACAATGGCTATGACTATTTTGCTTTTTAATATGTTTTTTATTGATTAAGATATTACATATGTGTCTCTGTCACCACATCCCCCCCTCCCGCTCATGCCCTCACCCCCCCTCCCCCGTTGTTTTTATGGTTTCTATATCCCTTATAAAAAGGGATAAAGCTTACTCTGTTTAAGTTCTCACAGTGATCATCCATTCTTCCTCTAAATTCCTTGAGCATCCTTATAACCTTCGTTTTGAACTCTGCATCTGGTAGCTTGGTTGCCTTCATTTTATTTACTTCTTTTTCTGGGGATTTATTGTGTTGTTTCATTTGGGCCATGTTTCTTTGCCTCCATTTTAGTTGCCTTGCTGTATTCGTTTCTCTGTATTTGGTAGATCTGCTGTGATTCCCAATCTTGGTATGGTGGCTTATATAGAAGATGTCTTCTGGGGCTCAGTGGCATAATCTCCCTGGTCACCTGTACTGGATGCTCCAAGAATGTTTCTTGTGTGGTTTGTGAGCCCTCTTGTTGTAGTTGTGTCTTGATTGCTGTTGGCCTGTTTGTGGGTGGAGTTGACTGTCAGGCTGGCTGATTATGAGGATTGACCCCAACAACAGTGTTCAAGCAGCTGTTGACAGCTGACTCCACAAAGGGGAATTGGCCGTGTCTGGTGCCCAGGAGGATCTCCTGTTTGATGTGCCACTTGTGAAGCTAATTGGATTGTGCTCTGGTGTGGTCTGAAGCCTGCCACTGGGTGTGCTGGTTCTGGGGACTTTTGAGAAGAACTCCAGCACAGCTTAATGTCAGACACTACCTGTGATCAGCCCTGGGGTACTGTGTAGAGCTACCAAGTGATCTGCAGTTGGTGGCTTTCTCTGCTGAGTGTGGGTGCACGTGAGAGGGTGCAGCTGTGTAACAAGGCTGGATTCCACCAGTTCCAAATCTGATTTTTTAATCAGAGCACCTCAGAGTTCACTGTTAGGAGTGTGAACTCAGCTTCAGTCTGGACCTGCCTTTCTTACCTCCTCTGTCCATTCAATCTGTACTTCTTAATCTTTTCTCCCTTTTCACCCATTCCACCGAACCTTCCTTCCATCTTGCAACCATCAAAATGCTTTCTGTATATAAGAGTTTGTTTGTCGGTTTCTTTTATTTATTTGATTGCACATATAAATGGAATCATATGGCATTTGTCTTTGTCAGACTTATTTAACTCAGCACAGTATTCTCTAGGCCCAGTCCATTTGAGTTGTTCCAGAAGGCAAGATTTCATTTCTTTTTGTCACTGAGGGATATTCCATTGTGTAAATGTAGCACTTTTTTAATCCATTCATCCATTGATGAACAGTAAGGTTGCTCCCATATCTTGACTATTGTTAATAATGCTTCAGTGCACATATAGATGCATATGTCATTTCAAATTAGTGTTTTGGGTTTCTTCGGATAAATACCCAGAGGTGAAATTGCTGGGTCCTACTTTTCTCTTGTTATAGCCTATGTTTTAAAATCTGTTTTGTCTGGTGTAAGTAATTGCTACCTTCGCTTTTTTGCTTGTTTCCATTTTCATGGAGTACCTTTTCCCATCCCTTCCAGTCTGTGTGTGTCTCTCCATCTGAATTCAGTCTTTCATCAATAGTGTATGTAAGAGTCTTCTTTTCTTATCCATTCAGCCACCTTACGTCTTTTGATTTTAATATTTAATGCATTTACATTTACAATTATTGTTGACTAGAGGCCCAATGCATGAAGACTCATGCAAGAATGGACCTTTCTTCCCCTGGCTGCTGACACTGCCTTTGCTTCGGCTGGAGCCACCTTTCTGCCTTTGCTGTGGCCCGGAGCCTCCTTTCCGCCTTCCCAAGCTGCCCAGAGGCCCGGCGCGGCTGGGACAGTATGGAATGCCTGCATCGTCACCATGGCGATGACGCAAGCATCCTGCCCCGCCCCTGGCTGCTTGACACCTGCGTATGCAAATTAACCCACCATTTTTTGTTGGGTTAATTTGCATACAGATTCCTGATTGGTTGGTGGGCATTGTGAAGGTACAGTCAATTTGCATCTTTTTTATTAGTGTAGATAGCTATGTAGTTACTGTCATTTTATTATTCAAATTAGATATTTATATATATATTTTAAAGAAGCCTCTTTATCATCCTATATAATAAAAGGCTAATATGCAAATTAACCGAACGGCAGAATGATCAGTCACCATGATGCACACTGACCACTAGGGGGCAGATGCTCATTGCAGAAGCTTTCCCCTCGTGGTCAGTGCGCCCCCATGGGGGAGCACCACTCAGCCAGAAGCCAGGCTCACAGCGGCAGTAGCGGGAACCTCTCTCGCCTCTGTGGCAGCGCTAAGGACCCCTTGGGGGATGTCTACCTGCCGGCTTAGGCCTGCTCCCTAAGTGGAGCAGGCTTAAGCTGGATGGCGGATATCCTCTGAGTGGTCCCGGACTGCAAGAGGGCGCAGGCTGGGCTGAGGGACCCCCCACCCGCCCCAGTGCGTGAGTGTCATGCACCGGGCCTGTAGTTTCTTATAATACTGGTTTGGTGGTAATGAATTCCTTTAGCTTTTTTTGTCTGTGAAGCTCTTTATTTGTCCTTTGATTCTAAATGATAGCTTTTTTGTGTAGCATAACCATGCTTGTCAGTCATACTGTTTTCTACAGTGGCTGTGCCATGTTGCATTCCCACCAACAATGTACATGGTTTCCAATTTCTTCACATTCTCACCAATACTTGTTATTTCTTTTCTTTCTTCCTTCCTTACTCCCTTCCTCTCTCCCTCTCTTCCTTCCTCTTTTCCTTCTTTCTTTCCTTCCTTCCTTTTTTTTTTTTTGTAGTGGATATCCTAACAGGTGTGGGGTGGGATCTCATTGTGGTTTTAACTTTCATTTCCCTGATATTAGTGATGCTGAGTATCTTGTTGTATGTATATTTAGCCATTCATATATCTTCTTTCGAGAAATGTCTATTTAAATCCTTTGCCCACTTTTTAATCAGGTTGCTTGTTTCTTGTTGTTAAGTTTTATAGACTTAGGTCTTACATTTAGGTTTTTGATATATTTTGAATAAATTTTTACATGTGGTATAATGTATGGGTCTAATTTTACTTGTTCCCATGTATGTATTCACTTTTACCAGACCATTTGTTAAATTAAACAGACTGTTCTTTTCCCATTGAATGGTATTGTCACACTTACCAAAAATTATTTGACCGTATATGTGAGGGTTTAGTTCTGGATTCTATAATTGTGTTCCACTGATCTATATGACTGTCTTTATGCCAGTGCCACACTGTTTTGATTATTGTAATATATTCACTTTTAATGTTATAATTATTTTTCCTGATCCATATTCAAGTCTGTCCTGTCCTAATCCACAGCTCGGCCTTTTGTGTTTCACTTATTTCTTTTCTCTTAACTTTAATTCAGGCCTCAGTGCTTTCTTCACTTCTCTTCTCACTGCTCCTCTGAAACTTCTGTTGCTGAGGTTGCTAAAGATCTCCAAAATTTCAAATCCTGTGGATGCTGGATTGTATTTGTATTTTTATCCTGATTGTTGTGGCCATCCTTTTTTTTAAGAAAAAAAAGTTTTTTACTTATTTTTTTAAAGAGAGAGGAAAGGAGACGGAGAGAGAAAGAGAAAAAGATCAATGTGAGAGAGAGATACATCAATTGGTTGACTCATGTAGGCCTCCTGACTGGGGACTGAACCCACAACATTTATGCGCAGGATAACATTCAACTGAGGCACACTGGCCAGGGCTGTGGCCATCCTTCTTAAAATGGGTTTTTGTTTTTTGGTCTTTTTCTCAAACTCTCTTTTTCCCTCTCTCATTCTGGTCTATCACATTGTTGTAAATTTTTATTTTAACCTCATTTTTCTGTTGTACTTGTTTTGCCAGCCCTCTGGTATATACTCTTTTGGTTGACTTCATTTAGGTCAAGCCATCTGCTGCTTCCTACAGCTAGAGCTCTGTAACTTGCTGCCATTTCCTTTCAGTAATAACTGTATCATTCTGAATTACCTACAAGAACCTGTGAAAGTTTTGGTATAAGTTTTATTTAATTGACCTACTAAGTTCTTCTTTGGTCCTCTTTGCTTTTCACTATTGGGTTTCCCTTGGAAATTTTATCCTCTTTATAGCTTTAGTTATCATTTTGGTAGATGGTTACCAAACTTGCATCTTGAGCACTACTTTATTACTTTGTTGACTGCATTTTCTGTTGGGTGAATTTTTAAAAAAATATATATCTTACTGATTTTTTACAGAGAGGAAGGGAGAGGGATAGAGAGTTTGAAACATCAATGAGAGAGAAACATCGACCAGCTGCCTCCTGCACACTCCCTACTGGGGATGTGCCCGCAACCAAGGTACATGCCCTTGACTGGAATCGAACCCGGGACCCCCCAGTCAGCAGGCCGATGCTCTATCCACTGAGCAAACTGGTCAGGAGAAGGGTGAATTTTTTATAGATCATTGTGCTAGATAAAATATTAGACCTGGAAATACCAAACAAGTGAGTTAATCCAAATATATTTAATATTTTTCTCAAAAGCAACTCTTCACATCAACATTACTTTATTGACTTTTTAAAGATTTGTATGACACATATTTGAGAGAAAGCTTCAGAGAGGAGTTGATGATTGATATCTTCTTATAGGATAAGTTGAGTTTTCTTAGATTGGCAAAGTAGAATAGAGCACTTTAGAAGAGACTGTGCATGTAATGTGTCTGGTGCATCATTCAGAGTGGACACGATGTGGTAAAGGACTTTGGAAAGTTAGGTATTATGTTGGACATAGCACAGTTGGAATGCCAGTCTGAGGACTTTGATTTTTTTTCTGATTTGTTGTATGAAACCTATATATTAGCCGGGAGTAGATGACTACAGAATGGTTTTCTCTAATGGGTGGAAAGGCATATGGAAACTGTTCTCATAGAAGATTGCAGTTATGTTTTGGTGCCGCTTCATTCCTGATACAATGATGTTCTCTGTCTTAGCACATTCACAAGAGTTCTTGAGTGAAAAAAGTTTGGGAAACATTGATTTAAGCACGCCTAACAAAAGAAAAAAAAATGAAAATATGACTCCACTGAACTAAGCTCTATCATCAATAGATTTTTTACTTTATTTAGAGGAGACTTTTAAACCTGAATTTCAGTGATAAGTGCCCTTTGATGAGCTGATAGAGGATATCCAGTAGTATGTGCCTTTCTTTTGTGTGCTGTGAAATGTGTACCTTATTTTTACTTTTTAAGATGTAGAAAGTATCCCATCACCTGTGTGAAATGTTCTTAATAGCTAAGTGCACTTGAAGAAGAAAGTGAATGCTGAATGGGTGCCCAGCATTATTAGACTCATCCAGTTAGTTGTTTCAAATGTTTCCAGTATGGGGCAAGATCTGGGCATGCATTTTAGACTGGTAATAGAGCAGATGTGATTTTGCCAGGCTGGTATATCCAGCACCCAATCCAGGTTGTGAAAAAAGGTGTGTTTGTAAATCAAATTTTTTGAACTCTTGAAGAATTTTTAGAGACTTTTAGCTGCCATATAAACATTAAGCCCAGGCCTATCAAACCTTTCTCAATAGCACACGCAAAATAGGTGCCTCTCCATTGACACAGCAATTTTCCTTCTCATTCCTTCCCCTTGTTTTTGTTTTCTTTGCCTCTTGCTTCTTGAACTTTAAGTGCTACCAAGCACTATGTACTTGCATTGTTGTAGCAACTATGGGCATGAGTTTGAGCCTCTCTACTTAGGAGGGGTTTGTTGGAAATTTGCTCAATTCTAAAAGCATTCCACTTAGTAAAGAAATAGATTTATTCTTCCTTGTAACAAATATGACAGTATGAAATTTAGTAAATGTTACAATAGTACAGAGTTTAGTAAATGTTTTTTGAAAAGGTTGTACTGTGAAATCAACCATATTAGTAATTATTGCTAGTATGTTTTATATAATTATAACATTTAAAATTTCTAGAATGCTTTTTATATATTAGAACTGAGTTGACCTTAAAACACTTAGATGTCTAGAGATAAAAGTAGATGTTCCGGTATCTTAAACATGAACAAATTGAAGTTTTGAAAGAATAAATAACTTTCTTGCTGAATTTGCTTTCTATGGCATAATTATGACTAAAAGAACAATTTCATGAGACTCTGCTCCTCCTTCTTGGTGTGAAAAACAGGGTGACTATATTACATATTATGTTGTTTTTCAGAGGCCTCATAAAAATGGTTTTGAATCAGACATTTTTCTTGATTCACTGTCAAAGTTTAATGCACTTTATATATGCTGATTGTCCTAGAAATAATCACTACTGTGTTGGTGTGTACACACATTCTAAAAATATGAGTCACAGTTAGTTGAAACCTTCCACATCTTAAACATATAACAGTTCTGCATCTTCACTTTCAGATTCTATAAATAATTTTAGATAAAAAAATAGTACAAATTAATTTTTATGGAGTAAAAGTTTGCTTGTGTTTTGCTTAATAGCATTTCACATTTAGAATTTTATGCCTGTATTAATCAAGGTTTCCTTTCTCTAAACAGGAGAATGTACTCATCTCCTCCCACCTGTGCAAGCCCCTATTCAAACAAAGAAGAAAACAGCAAAGCATTGTTTTCTTTGTGGGAAGAAAACTGGACTGGCTACTAGCTACGAATGCAGGCAGGTTGGCTAGCTGGAAAAGTTGAGATGCTTTCTTTGTGATAGCCCAACTTGGGAATACAATGTAAAATGTTCTTTAAGTTGGTTATTCAGAACATCATGAAGATGATGTTCATATGGCAGACCTCTGTTTAACTCCTTCTAATTGGCTGAAGTAAAGAGCAACTAGATAGCTCATGAATTTCCAAACTCATGAGATCCTGCCCTGCCCTTTAAATTAGAAGGTTTAAACCAATGGGAGACTATACTTTTTTTTATGATAGATATACTTATTTTTTGTTGTTGTAATACAGCTTGGAAGAATCCCTCTAATATTCTATTTTAAATTTAATAAGAAAGGACTACATTTAAAATTAATGTAGTATAAATTTTAACAATTATATAGTATGCTTTTTATTTCAAAACAGATGAATAATATATTTATAAAAATTAATGAATGTCTTCCTACCCATAATTATTTCTTTCATTAGTATAGATTAATATGCTTCAAGGATAGTGTCTGCCCTTAGGTTGAGGACAAATATTAAAAATAACTCTTGCTTTTTAGAGTGTATTTTATTCAAATGGGAACAGCTTATCTTGTTGCTAGAAATATTTTTTAAATCCATTCGTGGTTTAGTTAGTTTTTACATAATTTAATTTTCCTATCAGACAAATTTTTCAGAAATTCATAGTTCTCCCAGGTTTAAATAGTTGGACTATTTATCAGTTTTTGCAATTTTACTACTTCCCAAAGGTCTACACCCTATTTCATTCCATAATGGATTCTTTATTATAAACTCTCATGATTATGGACAATTAGCTTGTTCTTTTGGGGGTGGTGCTTGTGCTTGTCTATAAGCAGACGGGAAATGCCCGTGCTGAAATGGCTCAAGAGTACCACAGGGCTCCTGTTGGACTCCCTGAAGTCAAGCGCTGATCTCCCAGAGAAGAGCCTCTAATAAAAATGCGACTATTCATGTGAACTTTTTTGTGCTTTAGATGTGGAAACAACTTCTGTGCATCTCATCGCTATGCAGAAACTCATGGCTGCACCTATGATTACAAGAGTGCAGGGAGGAGATACTTACAGGAGGCAAATCCTGTGGTTAATGCACCAAAACTTCCAAAAATCTAACTCTTGCTCTGCACCTAACTCTTCTGCCTGAGAAGTCGTATTACAGTGACAGCCAGAAGAAATATTGTTAGACTGCATTAATTTTGTTCTATACCAAAAGATTTACCAAATAACAAAAGCATACAATGCACACTGTTGGAGAATGAGAATGCTACTGTATTTGACATCTCTATTTTTTGGTGAATCAAAAGTTTTAAAAGTAGTTTTAAAAACTTTAAACTAAATGAGTTAGCTTTGTTGTTGCATGTCTTATGTTAAGTACCTATATATTTGATATTGCAATTTTACTAGACAAGTCTTCAAAAGACGCACTTTAAGAAGTGTCCATTGACTGCATAACTGTCTTCCACATTGTACAGAAATGACCTGTCGTGTAATGGCACTATTCAAACCGACCACTTTTTTTTGTGGGGGTGGGGTGGGTGGGGATTTGTAAAAGAAAAATACCATGTGTGAAAGTTTATTCAGTTCACTAGCAAGTTCCTTTTTATTTCAAGCTGCTTTTTATAAAAAAGAACATTTGGTTTTCCAGTGTGTTTTTAATACATATAATTCTTCCATATTCACATTGGCATTCGGATATGTATCCATTCTATAAAACACATCATGTTAATCATAGTATATATTTCTTAAAATACTACTTTTTGAATGGTAGTTTTAAAATGGATGTCCCACTTGTTGCCATTAAATTCAGAACCCAACTTTTAAATTTTTGAAAAACAAAATCTCACAACTTGCTTTGTTTTTCTTATATGTTGAGTGCTATTACCAGGAGAAATTAAAATAAATATTCAATTTCATTATGAGTTTGATTATTTAAAATAATTTTTGAGTTGTTTTTTGCTTGATCTCTTTACCTTTATCACTAAATCCCCCAAACCCTTCCCTCTGATAGCTCTCAGTCTGTTCCATGTATCCATGCCTCTGTTTCTATTTTGTTAGTTTATTTTTCACTAGTTTCCACATGTAAGTGAGATCATATGGTATTTGTCTTTCTCTGACTGGCTTATTTCACTTAGCATAATACTCTCCAGGTCCATCAGTACAGCTGCAAAGGGTAAGATTTTCTTCTTTTTGTGGTTGAATAGTATTTCACTATGTAAATATACTAGAGCTTTTTAAATATATATATATATTTATTAATTTCGGAGAGGAGGGAGAAGGAGAGAGAAATAGAAACATCAATGATGAGAGAATCATGGATCAGCTTGCCTCCTGAACCCGCCCTCCCTCCCCAGGGGATTGACCACACAACCCAGGAATGTGCCCTGACTGGGAATCGGTCTGTGACCTTCTGCTTCAGAGGCTGACATTCAACCACTGAGCCACATCAACTGTACCTTTTTTAGCCACTTATCTACTGCTTCCAAATCTTGGCAACTGTAAATAATGCTACAATGAACATAGGGGTACATCTCATTGCTCTCTTGATAAATTACAAATCCTTTCTAATTTTTGCCTTGAAGACTCCTTCTTGTCTTGAAGGCTCTGGCTGGGTTTGGCACTTCACCTACCTCTCTGCCCTCATCCCACACTACTATTCCCATTGCCCCTCTGGATGCCCCTGTGTGATCCTAGGGAGTGAAACATAAATAGGGAGGTGTGGTCCATCATTACCTTTGTCAGAGGAGATATATTAGAAAAAATTTTGCTATGAGAAATGTCGGAGATTTTACTGCCTATATTTTCTTCTGGAATTTTTATGGTTTGGGGTCTAAAATTTAAGCCTTTAATACATTTTTAGTTTATTCTTGTGTAGGGTGTAAGAAGGTGGTCTAGTTTCTTTTTTTTTTTTGCAACTATCTGACCAGTTTTCCCAACACCATTTATTGAATAGACTATCTTTATCCCATTATATGTTCTTGCCCCCTTTGTCACATTTTAATTGGCCATAAAGGCATTGGTATATTTCTGGGCTCTCTATTCTGTTCCATAGATCTCTATGTCTGTTTTTATATCAGCTAATATGCTGTTTTGATTTCCATAGCCTTGTAGTATAGTTTGATATTAGGAATATGATTCCTCTAACTTTGTTCTTCTCTCTCAAGAATCTGTGGCTATTCTTGGTCTTTTGTGGTTCCATATAAAGTTTTGGAATATTCTGGTTCTGTGAAATATGCCATTGGTAACTTGATAGGAATTACATTGCATTATAGATTGTTTATTATAATTTGGAAATTTTATTTTCTTAAAAAAATCTTTATTGTTGAACATATTACAGATGTTACCTGTATTCTCCCCATTGTCCCCCTCCACCTGGTTCCCACCTCACCCTAGGCCATCACCACAGTATTGTCGGTGTCCATAGGTAATGCATATATGTTATTTAGTTAATCTCTTCCCATAGCCCCATACCCCTTCCCTCTGAGATTTGTCAATCTGTTTCATACCTCTGGCTCTATTTTCTTCATCCATTTATTTTGTTCATTAGATTCCTTGTTCATTTATTTTAATTCTTAGATTCAATTGTTGATAAATATGTATTTATTGCCATTTTATTGTTCATATTTTTTATCTTTCTCCTCCTCCTCTTCCTTTCACCACTTTTTCTCTTGCTACTTTTAGATTATCTCTTTATCTTTAACTTTTGGTATTTTAATTATGATGTGTCTTGGTGTCGGTCTCTTTTGGTTCCTTGATAACTTGGTAACTTGTTTGGGACTCTCTGTGCTTCCTGGATCTGTAAGTCTATTTCTTTCACCAGGTAGGAGAAGTTTTCTGTCATTATTTCTTCAAATAGGTTTTCAATATCTTGCTCTCTCTCTCCTCCTTCTGGTACCCCTATGATGTGAATGTTGGTATGCTTGAAGTTGTCCCAGAGGATCCTTGCACTACCTTCATATTTTTATTCTTTTTTTTTTTCACTTCTGATTGGGTGTTATTTGCTTTTTCATAGTCCAAGTCATTGATTTGATTCTCAGAATCTTATACTGTACTATTGAATCCCTATAAATTATTATTTACTTCAGTTAGTGTATGCCTAATTTCTGACTGGTCATTTTTGATGTCTTTGACATTCTCACTGAGATCCTTGAAAGTCTCACTAAGTCCCTTGAAACTCTTATTAAGAATCTTGAGCAACCTTATCATCATTGTTTTAAACTCTGTATCTAGAACTTTCCGTGCTTCCATTTCATTTAGTTCTTTTTTTTTGAAGACTTCTTCTATTCTTTCATTTGTGATATGTTTCTTTGTGTCCACATTTTGGCTGTTTCCCTGTGTTTGTTTCTATGTATTAGGTAGAACTGCTATGTCACCTGGAATTGGTAGAGTGGCCTTGTGTAGTAGATGTCCTGTAGGGACCAGTGGTGCAGCCTCCCCAGTCACCTGAACTGAGCACTCCAGGTGTGCCCCTTTGTGGGCTGTGTGTACAGTATTGTTGTAGTTGAGACTTGATTGCTGTTGGCAGCACTGGGAGAAAATGACCTCCAGGAGAACCAGCTGTGAGTACAATGGGAGAGCTGCTGTGCAGGAAATACCCTATGAAGCAGGACTTGCTTCAGTGGGGCTTTCGTGCTCACTGAGTATACCCTTTGAGTGTGTCACTCATGGATATGTAAAGTTGTAATCTGGTATAGTCTGAGGCTGTCCACCAGGTGCACTGGCTCTGGGGCCTCCTGGGAGGTGCAAAGTCAGCCACTGTGGCTGTAGTGCTGGCAGGGGCTACAGAGCCATTTGCAGATGGTTGCTACTTGTGTTGGGCTTGGAAGTGCCCAGGAGAGGCCAAGCTGTGAAGCAAGGCAGACTACTGTTAGTGCTGGGTCTTTCTGACACCAGCTGCTGCTTGTTTGAGAGATTTTAGGAAAGTCTGAGGCCTGAGCCAAGACAGGCCATTCATATGCAAACAGCTTGGATGGGGATACAAATTGGATGGGGCAGGATTTCAGGGAATCACCAGGGGGGAGCAAACAGTTTGAGCCAGGCTGATGGAAACTCAGCTATGGCTGTCAGTCAGCTCTGCAATGAGGGAGGTCTCAGCATAGGACAATGAATCCTGTGAGCACCGCTGTCTGGGAGAAAGCCATCCCAGAGTTCTTGCTCTGATTCCAGATGATCTAGTGCCGCCCAGTATGTCCCTGGATCCTCCCCAAGCCCTTGTCCCAAGGCTGGAGCTCAGAGTCAAGTCAGTTCATGTGCCGGCCCTTTAAGATGAACTGCCTGGATCTCTAGCAATTTTTGTGTCACTCAGCCACAATTCCTACTGGTTTTTACAGCCCAGAGTAAGGGGACTTATCTTCCCAGCTCTGAAACTCTGGGCTGGGGGTTTGGTGTGGGGCTGGGACCCCTTGCTCCTCACGGGAGGACTTTGCAGCCAATATATCCCTCCTGATAAAAAAAAAAAAGCCACATGTGGGTGTCGGGCCCACCCATTCTGTGCCTCTGTCCCTCTTATCAGTCTTAGTGTGCTTCTTCTTTCCTTCTCTAGTTGTAGCGTTCCCCTTCAGCTAGATTTAAGGCAGATCTAAATGATGACTGTTCTCTATTTTAGTTTCAATTTTTATGTGGTTGTGGGAGGCAGTAAGTTTACCTATGCTGCCATTTTGGTTCTCGGTATGGACATTTTAATGATGTTAATTCTTCCTATCTATGAATATGGTATATGCTTCCACTTATTTATATCATCTTCAGTTTCTTTCTTCAGTGTCTTATAATTTTATGAGTACAGGTCTTTTACATCCTTGGTTAAATTTATTTCTAGGTATTTTATTTTTTTATACAATTGTAAATGGAATTGTTTTCTTAGTTTCATTTTCTGATAATTCATTATTGTATAACAATGGAACTGATTTTTGTATATTTATTTTGCATTCTGTTACTTTACTGAATATATTTATCAGTTCTAGTAGTTTTTTGGTGCATCTTTAGGGCTCTCTATATACAATATCATTTTTATTGAATTTATTAGGGTGATACTGGTTAACAAAATTATACAGGTTTCAGGTGCACAATTCTACATCATCTATGCATTATATTGTGTGTTCACTACCCCAAGTCAAGTCTTCATCCATCACCATTTATCCCTGCCCCCAATCTCCTCCACCTCTCCCAATCCTCCCTCTCCACCTCAATCACCACACTGTTGTCAGTGTCCATGAGTTTTTTCTCTTTTTTCTTAATCCATTTACTACCCCTTATAGCTTCCCTCTTCAAACCCCTGAGAGCTGTCAGCCTATTCTCTACCTAAAGAACAAAATGAACTAACAAGCAAAATAGTGACAAGCTCATATTTTTCTTTTTCTGGATAGACAGAGTGAATATGATACAAAGTCTATATCTAAATAAGTATAAAGAAACTCTTTGATTGGCTTATTTTGACTTAGCATAATGCTTTCCAGTTCCAGTATCATATCATCTGCAAATAATGACAGTTTTACTTCCTCCTTTCCTATTTGGATACCT